CCAGCCTGGGGGAGGAGGAAGAAAAACATGCAATCCCCCTCACTGTGCTGAAGGAGCTGACACGGGTATATACACGGCTGGATCGAATGTGAATTTGGCTTCCCCCTCTCCCCCGAATTCGACGTTCGAAAGGTCAAGACAGGAATGGCAAGGGAGCGTTGAAAAGAGCCTAGGATTGGGGCTGTTTGGCCCAAATGGAATGAGTTTACCCGAGAAAAGCCAGAAATATGGCTTGTTTAAAGAATTCACTCCCTTCCACTGTCTAAATATGCAAAGTTCACTGCGAAATGTCGTGCATACACGGGCGGTACATACTACATTGTGAGCTCGAAAAGAACTGCAGTGGTGCATTGAAGGATTGAGGTACCTGGATCCCCCTTCAAGCAAAGCACAAAGGTTCGCTCAAAACAAACTGCATAAAGGCCCCGAAAGCTAAAATGCATTCCCCTCCCCCTTTGTGCTGCAAGTGGAAGATGCCGGACTAGCAGGTTCACGACTGTACACACTTGAAGGGACAAAAGGTCCCCCCGACTCACTGCTTCACGCTGCGCCTTTCCGTGGTAGTCCTTGCTCCGCTCTTCGTCTCGCCATCTGTGCTTGTACCAGACGGATAGCGTTTTGCAGCGGCTGTCGGCTTCCCCCGGCTACAGCTTGTTGCTTTGGCACTGTAGCGGGTTCACTCGGCCGCTGACCAAGAACTCCAGTACTCCCCCCTCTGTCGGATGGGCGTCCTCTTTCGCCCCAAGGCCACAAAGACTGAGCGTCCCCCGTGGCGGCGGTTGTATCTGCAGGTTCTTGGGTTTCCGTGGCATCTGCAACATCAGCGGAACCGCCAGAGGCGTCGTCCCCCCAATCAGGGACACTCTCCTCTCCGTCATCAACTTGCTCCCCCTGGTGGTGTCGTTCCTCTGTCTTGCTTTTCTTCGGCAGTCGTGCTGGCACATGTGTTGTGCCCTCCTTTGTCACATGCTTGGAGCCCTTTGAGCCTTCCCCTTCGCGCTGTGGTGTTCCGAAGGCTGCCTTTGTCCCACGCTGCCTGCGGTCCCCCGTCTTGGGGGGCACCTCTGAAGTGTCGTTGTAATCGCCTTTTTTCTTGGCTTTGACTCTCCGTCGAATCCTTCGCACTCTCTTCAGGAGTTGTGGAGCTTGCTCAGGGAACTTCATCACGAAGACCCTGCTCTCATCCGCTATGCGTGGCATATACCTATCGGTGATGCGGCAGAGTTTGTCAGCGGCATCCCCCAGTAGGCAGCGGTCCTTGTGTTTGCGTCGGTACTGCTTGTAGGCTGCTTTCTCTGCTCTGTTCAGTGCCTCCCCCGTGGGCTTCACGTAGTCCCCCGTCTTGTCGCTGTGCTTGATTGTGGAGTTGGCCCATTGGTCCAAGTTGGGGTTGGCATCAAACTGGAGGTGCAGACCCTTGCGCGTCATGAAGAGGACTTTCTCCGATGCGCTCCCCGCCATCGGTGCGCCCTCTCTGTGTTGTAGAGCGGGTTCCCCCCTTGGTCACGGAAGGATCTTTGACTTGCTTGGCCTTTGAGGTAGAAGAGCTCGCTGTGGTTGTTGTCAAACCAAGCTCGATCACAGGTCGAT